ACAAGTATTATATAAAATATTATTTGAAAAAAAAACAAAAAAAAAACAAAAAATTAAGATCAGAAAAGCACTAATAAAAGGACTTATTATATTAAAGATAAAAAAAGCTTAAACAACTGTTAAATAAATATGCAACACAAAAGTATATAGATATAGTAACAAAAATAGTATGAAAACATTTTTTATAATCAAGAATGAAGAGTCTGATATAAAAAAATACAAAAATAAAAAAACTTTAATATAACAAATAAAATAAAGAAAGGTATTAGAATAAAAAAAAATAAAAATAAAAAGCTAAAAGAAAATAAGAAAAAAAAAAATAAAAAAAATAAAATAAATAAAAAAGAAGCTTTAAAGACAATTAATATGCTTGTTACAGAAGAGAAAAAACTTTTTTAGTATAATTTTAAATAGTTAGACAAGCAGTTTATCTTTAACTAAAATAATACAACAAGTTGCATTTAGGTGCTATTAGAATAACTAAATAATGCTAAACTTATATATTAAAAAATTTTATGCAATTATGTATATATAGTTTCAAGAACCTTAATAAAATATTAGTAAGAATAATGATCTTAGTGGTTATTATTCTCCAAATAGTAGGTCTAAAGTTTAAATTCTACTAATAGCAGAATTTTGAAAAATGATCATATTTTAGCAACTTAGACAAAATATTTAGAATTGCAATTTTGTAATTCTGATTATATTAAAACTAACTTTGAAAATGTGCAATATTACATGAATAAATTCAAAAAGTATATACTTTATAAGAAGCCTTATTTGGAAATTTTAAATAAAAAAGTATTATAATCTTTAATAGTATTATTTATAAAAGTCTTGATTTGAAAAAAAAATTTAAAACAAATAACTTGTATAAGCAAGAATCTTTAGATAAAAGAGATCTACTAACCTGGCTACTAGTTGATCTGAGCATGAAATTATATTATGCAGAGCTTACTAGATTGGTAATACAGAAGAACTTGCAAAGATAGATGAAGCATTAATAAGATTATAAAAAAAGATACTGAATTTGTATAAACTTTATTAAAGTATAGCAGTTTAATAGTTAGTTCTGACTGCAAGTGTTGGTTTAGCTATAGTAATTTTGAATTAGCAATAAATAGGAATACAGAAGGCTTCAAAAGGTTTATTTTAAGAATAAATTAATTTTAAGATTAAGATAAGAATTTAGATATAATTTAGTAAAATTAATACAGATTATAGGTTTAAAGAATTTAAATGAAACATCTAAGCAAAGATATTAGATATGATAACTGATAGAAAACTCTTAGGCAGACTTCTTAAATAGTGAATATAAAAAAGTTATATAAATAACTAGTTATATATTTTTCTTGTAGTAGTTCTTATAAAATACTGTTATCCAAAAAATATTAATAAAGTTAAAAAACCAAAGAGGTCATTTTAATACCAAAAAAAAATATTAATATAACTACTAAAATCAAAAAAAAATACAAAACTATTATAAAAATATAAAAATTAAATAAATAAAACTAAAAACTAATAAGAATAATAATTCTAGTATAGTAGTTTGGTTGTTATTTTCAAGCAATAGATTTAGAGTTCAAATATTATTAGTGATTAAACTTTAAAAAATAATTATATTCTAGCAACTTGATTGAAATATCTAAGTTTGTTATTCTGTAATTTTGATTGTATCAAGACTAACTTTAGAAGTATGCAATGTTATATAAATAAATTTAGAAAAAATATAAAAAACTTTGTTTAAAAATTTTAAGTAAAAAAGTAATATAATCTTTAATAGTATTATTTGTAAAAATTTTAATCTAAAGAAAAAAACCTAAAATAGGTAATCTGTATAAACAAAACTCTAGATAAAGGTGTCTACTAAACTGACTATCAGTTAAACTAGACATTATGCAGAACTAACTGAATTAGTAATATAAAAAAACTTGTAAAGAATACAAAATACTAATAAGATTATAAAAAAAACTACTAAAGTTGTATAAACTCTATAAAAGTATAGCAGTTTAAAGGTTATTCTAACTGCAAATATTAATTTTAGTTATAGTAATATCAAATTAGCTGAAAATTAAGTAACAAAAAACTCTAGTAGGTTTAATGTAAAGTTAAAAATTTCTTATATAAGTAAACTGCTTTAAAAATTTAATGATTATAATATATTTGTACTAATAAAAACTAAGGCAGTTAATAAAATAAATAGGTAAGTAGATACTAAACCAGAATGTTTAAATAAAGTACTTACAAATAAGTTCTAAGTATAACAGTTAGTATAAAACCTTTAGATAAACTATTTAAATTAAACAATAGCTAAAGTTGTATGAATAGCTAGTTGTATATTCTTTTTATAATTACTTTTTATAATTGTTAATATAATTACAAAGCTAAAACATATTATTAATAAAAATCTGAATTACAAATACTTATCTTAATATTAAAAAAAAATACTATAAATAAATTAAAACAAAAACTATAAAAAAACTAAACCAAAAATTATAAAAAAATTTAAAACTATAAACAAACTAAAGTAAAAACTACAAAAAAACTAAAGCAAAGACTACAAAAAAATCAACAAAAATTATAAAAATACTAAAGTGATAACTATAAAATAATTAAAATAAAAATTATAAAAAAATCAGAGCAAAAACTGTAAAAGAACTAGAGCAAAAAATTTAAGCAAAAAACATAAAGAACCAAAATATAAATTACAAAAGATTAGAGCAAAAACTGCAAAAACCAAACTAAAAACTACAAAAGAATTAAAGCAAAAATTACAAAAAAACCAAAACAAAAATTACAAAGAAATTAAAATAAGAATTATAAAATGCTAAAATAAAAACTACAAAAGAATTAAAGTAAAAACTACAAAAAAACCAAAACAAAAACAATTACTATAACAACGGGTTACCAAGTTAATTTTGTTTTATTTTTTATTATATTAAATTTATTATATAAAAATTTATTATATTTAATAATTTTAAATATAATGTTTAATTTTTAAATTTATATTTTTAAAAATAAATATTAGTAGTTAATAAATATTTTATTAAATAAATTTATTAATAAAGATTTACAAGTACATTTTATAATATTTAATATATTATATATATTAATATTATTTTTTCTAACTACACTTTTTAGTTTAACATTTCCTAAATTATATTTATAATCTAATATTTTTAAATAAATAAATAAATATTTCTTAATAATTATTAATCTAATTTAATAAATTATTTTTATTTTAATTATACAATTGCAAATTTAAAATAAAAACTTTAATAAATTTTTATTAAATAATTATTAAAAATATTTAAAATAAAAATATATAATTTTTGTATCAAAAATTTTTAAAAATCTATAAATTAAATTCAATGTTTTTTTTTATTTTAAATCTACAAAAATGTAAAATTAAAATAATTTTTTTTTTACTGAATTGTTTAAATAGTTATTAAAATCTTTGTTAAATTTTTCAAATTTTCAATTGTCTGTTTCTTTTTCAAAAGTTATATTGCTATACTAATTAATATAATCTAACACAAGGTCTATACATGCATATTAATGTAAAATATGCAATATTAATAAAATAATAAAAAATATATAACATCAATACAAAGAATACAAAATTAATATTTGATAAAAAGTGCAATAATAATGCAAGAAATACAAAAAGTATATTTGCAAATAACTTGCAATTATTATTTTTTAATATACCAAATAGAATCTGTTGGATATCCAATTTAATAAAATAAATATTTGGATATAACAATATAAATGAATAAATAGAATTAGAACTTTTAAATAGCATTTCCATTTCATTAAAAATGGTATTTTTGATTAAGAATGGTATTTTTGCAACTGAATTTGATTGGTCGATCACGAAATCGTCATGGTGGCAGTCATGATATATAATAGCCAATCATGTGAAAGCACACAATCCTGTACTTTCATCTGTGGTAACAGAAATTTATCTATGCTGATTTATAGTTTAAAGAATAATAATATATCCTAGCCAACTCTAAAAAAAACCCCTCAAAGTTCAAAATGTTCATATTCAATTTTTCAGCATCAGTTGCGACAAATATTATCTAATCACCCGTTAATTTTAAAATAATCTTTGTAATGCTCGATCATTTTTATGAGAGTAAGTACTTGGAATTTTTCAAATGAAATAAAAATATTGCACATTTGCAATTTGAATCCGGCCAAATTTTGGAAAAATGCCGCATCGCTACCTATTAGCAGTGACTTGGCTTAGCTTGTCAAAAATAAGCCGGTTCGCGGTCGATCGGTTTATAAATGGCTTGGCTCATAAGAGAATTGCTTATAAATGGCACGGCTTCAGTCTACATAACCGAAATATCGATTCAGCTTAGTCAACATTAGTCGTGAGCCGAGTCGAACAGATTGTCCAATTCCATGGTTAATTATTGTCCAGTTCTTAATCTATCGATTTCATTTACACGTTGTTTAGCAGTTACATCATATGCACCATAACTACACCATGCGATATTATCCCGATGTCATATCTAATCTAAGTATGTACAACCCTTGAATTACAGACAATGCGATTATGAACAATTAAGGGCGATGCATAAATAAATGGCTGAAATAGAGGGCTATAGAAACAAATAAACGAATAAATTATATACACGAACAAGTAATGCGATGTATTAAATACAGTATAGGAAATGTAACGAATAAAGTGTAGCAAGAAAAAGAGAGCTTATATCATAAAAAGAAAAATTTTAAAGTACGCACTTTGACTTATAAAATGGTACAATGTAAATTTATAAAGAATCAAATATATAAATATGAATTCTTTGAAAAGAAAATAATTGTATGTTATGTAAATAAATAAATAAATAAAAATAAATAAATAAATTTAAGCAAAGTGTTGAGAGTATGATCCCGATTGATAAATCCATGAAATATATATAAAAACGAAGAATGAATAAGCTTTGGGTTTGACATCGTTCAGAAAAAGGATGGATCGCAACTTATCACTTAGGGTGATATCCAACATAACCATCTGGTCTGACATCGTCAGCTTCCGCATTTTGTAGTCTTTCTCTGGCTCTCCTTTCTCTGTCCTTTCTTCTTTCCTTCAATAAAGCGTCACGCCTAGATCTGTGCAAGTCTTTTATAGCCCAGAAAATCATTTTTTCGGGGGCATCAATCGGAGGAACTTGTTCGCTAAGATAATCTTTAAAGGCATGGTAGTGGCGACGAGCGTAGGGTTTAAATTCAGTCCATGTATATACACCTCTTGCTAGCTTAGCAGCCGGACGTTCACGGGTATAATCCAAAAGTTTACTCTACAAATATATGTACATATGTTAGAATTAAAACATAATAAATATGGATGTATATAAATTAAAAGAGTATAATATACCTTAACTTTAGAAAGTAATTTCAAATCACCCAAATTTCTAATATTATATCTGGTAAGATCCAAAGATGACACCAAATTTAAAGATTTTAATAGTCTTTTTATGTCTTCTCTTTGAAAGTCAATTCTTTCAAGATCATTTCTTCTAGAATTTCTACTCATTCTAATAATTTTTAATAATAAAATTAATAAATTAATAATAATAATAATAATAATAATAATAAATATCTAAACAATACATTTTAAATTTTTTTTTTTAAAAAAAAAACTTACCTTGAAATTTTGGTAGTTTTTTTCTGTTCAGACCCCATATTTATAGCTTTTTTTTCGGATTTCAAACTCCGGATTATTACACAATATTTGAGTTAATTGCCAAATAAGGTATAATGCGAAATATTTTCAATAGTGGTACTTGGGGTACTTGGGATACTTGGCGTCGTCAATCAAAACATGTCTTAGTGAGTCTCCGAAATTGTACACAAAATTCTAGCATGTCTAATTGTAACATAGGGTGTCGTCATTTTTATTAAATTATTAATAAGCACAATTTGCAGTACATACATGTATTGTTTACAAGTAGCATGTTACAATTAGGCATGACCTAATTTTTTTTTATCATTTTGTGTACCAATTTCGGAAACGTACTAAGGCACGTTGTGATTGACGACGCCCCACTTGGTACTTGTGGTACTTGTACTTGAGATGGTAATTAATTGATTTAACATGTGACTATAGTTGCTGTTTCACAAAAGTAAATAAATGATAACATGATTAATAAGTAAATTACCAATAACGATAACGATATTTTCCACGTAAGATAAGAATTCTATATCGATAGCAAATTCTTAGAAGAATTTGATAAATCATTATAACGATTCTTTACTGCGCATAGTAATACAACTCACTCTCGTTATAGTTAACTCTCGATATAGTGAAGACTAATTCAAACTCGATATAGTGAATGTAAGCTCAAAGCTACTCTATATAAAATTCTCTCGATATAGTGAATTTACTAAGAAAACTCTCGATATAATGAATTTTTAAAAAACTTTTATTGATGGAACGGACTACTTCACTATAACGAGAGTGGGTTGTATTTCGGTGACGATTGGTGTCTTACAATTTACAAAGCGATTAAATGACCAAGTAACTAATTTCTTTCTAACCTCCGTTATAATACGATAATTTATACTATCGCTATTTATTAAATTTCATCATACTAGAAATTTATCTTTATCATATATTAATATCTATTTTCAGTTGTCGAAACTGTAAAAAATGTATTTCAGTTTTCGTAACTGTAAAGAATGTGTTTCAGTCATCGTAACTGTAGAAAATGCTTTTTTTTTTTTGTTTTTAATGGATGTTAACACCAATAAATAACATTTTCAGTTAAATGATAAAGTCTGTAGCACCTTAATCATGAGTATTACTAAATGTACAAAACAATTTTGTAATTTAAGGAATAATTCCGTTGATCACACTTGTGTGCCAGGTTGATGGCGCAGATTTCCTGAACTACGTACAAATCAGATCTCAAGATCAGGCGTAACCTTAACACGATAAAAAAAAAACGACCGATTTGTCATAAATTGCTTACCTCTCAAAAATCGGCATAAGGAATCACCATTATTGTTCTAATAAAAAGTTTTCGTTTCGCGATTTTACTATATAAACTACTTTTCTCTGATTTCCTAACCCTAACATAAACGAACTTTAAAGAATTTTTGCTGCGCCACAAACCAACTTTGTACCGGATAAACTTTAAATATTCGCAATAATAATGATGCAACATTAAATTATTTTAATTCTAGCGTTATTAATGTAAATTTATTATTACTAGTTTTGGTTATCATAGGCATGTGTGTGTCTGCTTTCTGCATTTTGATTGGTTACTTTTTTAGACACATGACCATGAGTGTTATGTTGCAAAGCATGTGCAGGCTATTGGTATTTTCGTACTTCTCTGTTTAATTCTACAGACCTACAGAAATAACATAGATTTTAACGTTTTTTTAAAAAACAATTATTTTTAAGGGTAGAGTGTACTATTTTAAAATTATATATAAACTTAATGGTAATTCTTTTTTATATTTAAATTTATAAAAAACTATA